GAGAACCACAAGGAGTGAGTTATGGCTTTTGTTTGTCCCTTGGGTGACTTGAATATGTATTTTTCATGCTTTTACAAAGATATTAGCCACAATGGAGGTGTTTTAGTGCCAGTTGGACTAGAGAAAAAGGGTGACTGAATTATTTACTTCATGTATATCATTAATATAGTAAATTCTGTACTGGTTAGCCGTATTTTTAAACAAACTTGTCATTTTAAAATATCAGCTTTTTTTTTTTCATGCTTCCCCGAGTAGCTTTGTAAAATAACCAACACTAGGTAGAATAAACAATGATTATTAAACTTCATTAAATATATAAACCAAATGGATTTAAATTGGTTTTTCCTCCCCCTCACCGCCTCCAGCCTCTCCTCACAGATGCAGTTAATTTTTACAACCCCTCTAGGTCTGTACATTTTAGTATACGGAAACTAATGGTTTTTCTATACTCGAGTCCAAATTAAATTCCTAAATTTTTTTTCCCTGCTGGCGATTGCTAATAAAATACAATCCTAAGGAAAGTTGACCAACGGAGCGCAGTGGAGACCAGTGTTTACTCTGGACTGCGATGGAAATCTGAGCGGTGGAAAGGGCAAGCCAGGAGTACTGGACGGGCTTGCTTTCAGCCCCCTAGTCTTGCCACAAACCTACCATGGGGCCCTTACCTTTCTGAGTTCCATTTCCTCATCTGTAACATAAGGGAACAGGAACTAGAGGATTGCTAAAGTGTCTCTGCTCTAAAAGACTAGCCCGCCATCCTCAGCCCCACTGGGAGCTAGTGAAGGCTGCATAATGGAACTTTCTTGATCTCAATGAGTCTATGTGTGCCCTGGGTTTTATTGTCCTATGAATGCACCTGTGGCTTCCAATAATGATACTGGGAGTCACCTGTATACAATATCAGCGTTAAGGACAAGGATTGGAGAGTGTCTGAGAGAAGAAGAAGATGAGGCGAAGAAATTACTTGAAGGAGGAAGGCTGAATATAATTTCCGGAGACACAGGTTCCATCTCCCTTTGCCACTACCTTGGTGAGGGCTTGGCACAGCTCCTCTTACCTGTTGGGGCTTTAGGTTCCTCCTCGGTAAACGAGGGCAGTTACTTTGTGATTGCAGTTTCTTTGTTTATGGAGGCCAGGGAGATGCATAGGTGAGCAAAATCACAGCTAATGTAAAGACTTCATGACAGAACCTTCCCACCATCACACCTCGCATCAGAGGGAGTAACAGAGTAGTTAAATGCCACTTGTTCTTCTTTCTGTCCTTTTCCTACCAGCTAATAAAATCCCAAAATAAACCCATTGCCATCGAGTTGATTCTGACTCGTAGGGACCCTATAGGGCAGAGTAAAACTACCCCCACAGAGTTTCCTAGGCAATAATCTTTACAGAAGCAGATTGCCATGTCTCTCTCCCGCAGAGCAGCTGGTGGGTTCGAACCGCTGACCTTCCGGTTAGCAGCCACGTGCTTTAGCCAGGGATCCTTGTCAGCAAAATAGGAATTCCAAAAAGATAGTCTGTAGAGAGAAAAACCAAACGCCTTGGTGTAATTGGGAGTAGACTTGGTTTTAAGTGCTCGGTAGTTTTGATATTACCATAATACAAAAATTTTCGTTATATCAGGGAGAGAAAAGAAAAAGAAAAAAAAAAAACGCTGTAGAAACATCCTAACTTGCTAAGAGTGCCAAATCCTCGAGTGGAGCTTTCTTGATCAACTTCCCAATATGCAGGTGGATTTTCATGGGGAGAGGACCAATTCATCCTGGCCTCATCAGCCTGAACACACTTGAATTGTCGCACCCAATAATAGGATGACTAATTCAGATTTCTGGCTCGAACATTCCCTTATAGTTCCCTAGCCCTCTTCTCTTCTGTTTAGAAAACCAGCCTGAGAGTGTAAAGCTACATCAAATCATCAGGGGACAGACATCGGCTTGCCTGTGGCCTCGGCAGGGCTCACGGGTTCAAACACAACCCGCCTGAATCAGAAGAACTTTAATTGAGTAGATAAAGAGGTCCTCATAATTATAAACTGCAGTAGGTATAACAAGAGGCTAAATACATAGCTGTGGTTTTAATTAGCTGGTGCTTCAAATTAGTAATTTTGGTTTCAGTCAGAAATCAGTGACGTTCTACCCTGTGAAAGCCTCATTACTAAGTAGTTCATTCCTCATTATACCTCGCCGTGTGAAGCTTTCAATACCACACCATGCTGAGCGCAAAGGGAAAAAGTTGGAGATATTTGGTTGCCTTCCAAGAGCAGCACACTCAGTGGAGATTAAATGCATTCTCGCCAGAGATAGGAGAATTAACTGTTCTTTGTTATTTGTGTTAAGAAACACACCAGGCAGTTTTGCTTGCAACAGATAACACCAATGCGCACGCTCAGTCTGCTATTCAGCTGGTCGTCTGGCATTCGGTAGCTAACGAACTGATGCAAGAGCCCCCTAACACATCAACCTGGGGCCAAAAACACCAGAAGAGCCCTTACCACTGGCCGTTTGAAGGACTGTCGTGCAAGCTGAAGCAGGTTTCCTTTCTTTCTCCTGCTCCTCCCCGCTCCCCTTCAGGGTTTTAATTATATCTTTCCCTCAGAGGAGAAGGCAGGTAGTTTGCAAAGCCAAGAGACCAAAGTGCTTCAGTTCTCTTCATGGGAGAATTAAATGTGATCTATGGGCCTGTCATCCAGGGCTGTCAGGTGCATGGAATGAACAGAGCTCGAAAACTGACATCTTGCTCCTCACACTACTCAGAAGCCTCAGACTCTGGCTCTTGCTTGCGTGTGGCGAACCCTCTGCTGTGGGAAGCAAAGGAATTAAGTGTCCTTCTTCGTAACAGACCCTCTTCCCCCAGCTCCACTGCATACTACTTTAACTTGTTACCCTATCCCCACCCCGATACACTACCGTCTTAAATGTTGACAAGTTGGTGGTCTTGGATTACACTCAACTGACGTGGTGTCGAGGGACAGACTCATGCTCCACACTTCGGGGATGGAAGATGACGTCACTGTGCCTGCTTGATTCCACATCCCCCTCCAACACATGACGACAACAGTTTGGGGTCTGATCTCTCAACTGTTCGTGAATGCAAAGGCGAGAAGATCCTAGAAAAGGTTATACCTACGGATGGCATCTGACATTACAAGTGATAGGCTGGCTTCCGGTGTCAGGACTTGGCATCTTTCCTGACCAGATGGGGGCCCAGATGTGGGGCCTGGGCTTCGGGTAGGCCTCCGAGGTTTTCTTTGTTTTTCCCCAGACAGTGATAACATTTGCTGAGCACGCTTTCCAGTGGCCCACTGAGCTCGTATGTGTCTGGCATTATTCGTGCTATGAAAGTGTAACGTGCATTTAAACATCTTATGAATGTGGCCACTGTTTTAACATGGAGAAATGAAGTGTTGTTTATCCAGAAGATAAGGCTATCAAAGTCACTTTGAATTTGACAGTTCAAGGATTCCTGTGGAGAAAGGTGGGTGATTAAGTGCAGTGGCATCTTACACTCCGTGGACATCGCTATCTAGTTAAGCAGCATGGATATTGTATGCGCTCAGCTCTTTGTTTATTAAAGTGACGGTGCTCATGAGCACAGACTCAGCTACCAATGACAGGCATTGTGGTTTAGGATGTATTAAAAACCCATGACTGTACTTTTATATCAGTGTATCTCTTATACTTCCTTCAGCTGCTATGTTCATTTGCATGTCAATTATCTAATTAAGTCTTCACATGATAGTATTAACGTGGGGAAGAAACCAACGTTTATACGTCACCTGCTAGGTATTGTACGTACATTTATGTCATTTCAATTTGCCCAGCATATATGTACTCAGTTTGGGCAAGATTAAAATTAAAAGCAGGGGGAAAAGCTAACAAGCCAAACAAAGCACACTACCCTGAGAATTATAGATTGCGGTTTAATTTCCACAGTCTTGCACGATGACAAAATAATGGTTTTCCTCATAAGAAAGTGTTCAATTCTATGAAATCCAAGGGCCCAGAATTTATCTGAAAAACATTTGGAAGCTTGTCTGCTGATCCTCCAATGGGAAACCCTGAAATGCCAGGAGGGAGGGAGAGTTTTCCTGTCTTTCCGAAATATTTGTGAACTCCGGTCATTCGAGGCTTGTCACCACCCCTTTCCTTGTTAATGTGGGTTGTTCAAGCCAGACCCCTTCCTTTGTAAAGAGTCTACCTTTGGGGAAGACCAAGACAACAACAGCAACAGCAAACAAAAGGAGAGTGGGTGATTAAACAGTTTTTTTTGTGTGTGGAATTTCAAACACCTCCTTAAAGCCTCCTGTGAATTCGGTTAAAGCATTCAAACCCTGACTGGGCTCAGGACAGAATTCTAGTTTATCTGCAGCTTCATACTCGGATAATTCCCTGCCCTTAAGGACTTTGACATCTGTGAATTCTGAGCCCCGGGCAGTGGCAAAACCACGTAACCTTTTTCAGTGCCTTCTGGTCAGGTGGACGGATATTTGGGGAGTATGTAATTCCTGCAATAATCAAGGACAGGCAAGGGAAGAAGATCCTGCCATACTTAAGGGGCATGGGTACAATTTCCGATAAGCAAGTCTCTATTTTCTTCTGTAGTCAGAACGTTCAAACCAGTGAGACTAAAGGAAAGGATTTTTGCTCTCCATGCAGTATCATCAACTTGGGTAGTGTGGCTCCCGTTTTTAATTCTTATGGATAATGAAAACCAAAACCAATCCAGTTGCTGTGGAATCAGTTCTGACTCCTGGCGACCCCACGTGTGTCAGAGTAGAACTGTGCTCCGTAGGGTTTTCGATGACTGATTTTTCAGAAGTGGTTCACCAGACCTTTCTTCCAGGGTGCCTCTGGGTGGGTTTGATCTGCCAACTTCTTGGTTGGTAGTTGAGTGCTTAACCATTTGTACCACCCAGAGACTCCTTATTGATAACCAGGGAGATCTAAATTACTTAGATGACTAATTAATCTTTTTCTTCTTTTGTCTTTTTCTTTTCTTGTCAGTCACTATGAACAAGACCGTAGTGCGCTTAAAAAAAGGGAGTGGGAGCGGAGGAATCAAGAAGTCCAGCAAGAAGAAGATCTCTTTTCTTCAGGCTTTGATCTTTTTGGGGAGCCCTACAAGGTAGCTGAATATGTATGTCATTTATCATTCCGGAAAATGGTTGCTTGTTACAGTTTTCAACTCTCTAATCCACATTTAATCTATTTTGAAAGCACCCAACTCATTTCGGGGAGAATATCTTTTACAAAGGAAATAGAAGCGTACAGTGTGTTGGGGACAATTGGAAGTTTCTGAGGAAGTCTTCGAGAGCTGTTTCCATCTACTTTGGGAAGCTCAGTAAGAGTTGAAAAGGACTTGTGAGACCGCTGTCTCCAAGGAGCGCTTTACTGCCCTACACTTCCTCCAGCAAGGAATGCCTGCTTGACTCTAGCCACTGCTTTGATTCTCAGCTGGAAGCCTCTGAAGACTTCATCAGAATGTCAAAGGAGATGTCACTTTCTCCTCCCAGTCAGTGCCATCCCTTGCAAAACCACTGCTTTCCTTTCCCATTTTAGGTTGTTAACAGCTGTTTGTCGGTTTGAGTGCTCTTTGAAAATCACCCTTCTAGGAGCAAGGAAGAAGCCAATCATTTTTCCTGATGGTTAAGAATCATGGGGTAGAAGATTGCCTCCACCAGAGGAGGTAGCGTAGCCAGGTTGATTTTTGAGTGCTATTCTGGCTAGTGTGTGGCTCCAGCGAGCCCCGGTGGCACAGTAGTTAAATGCTCGGCTCCTAACCGAAAGGTTGGCGATTCAAACCCACCAGCTGCCCTGTGGGAGAAAGATGTGGCAGTCTGCTTCCGTAAAGATTTACAGCCTTGGAAACCCTATGGAGCAGTTCTACTCTGTCCTACAGGGTTGCTGAGAGTCGGAATCCACTCAAATGGGTTTGGTTTTGGTTGTGTGTGGCTCGAATAAGAAATCACACTGATACATCTACAAGTATCTATTTTCTGCTCCTGTTATACAATGACTGCTGCTGAACTTTTCTACTTGAAGTTGGGGCTAGGGGTGACCAGGAAGAGATTATGAGAGAAGAATCTTATTGAATTGCTGGCAGCTGTTTGTTTTTTATTGACAGCGAATAGCATTGTAATTTCCTGTAATGAAACAAAAGCAATTTAAGAAATAAAACAATAGAGAAAATTTCTATTCAAGAGTTGTGATTTTAGAATACCTTTTAGGGGACAGTGACTTCTAGAAAAGGAAAATTCTGAATGAGAACAGCACAGGCCCCAATACTATTTTAGGGTAGAGAGTGACTTGTTTGAATTGGTGCCTAGGTGGAATTGGAGTCTTACTGCCTTGTTCAGAACAAGTAAGCAGCTCTTGATTAAGCCATTTGGGTGCTTTCCAAGTTTGGTAAATCAGACAAGGGTGTTACACTTGGATCACCCAACCTACTAGTTTTCAATCTGTCAGCAATAGTATAATCCTTAAAAAACATTTTCTTTCTATCTCAACTGATTTGGGAAGAGGCCTGGTAGCGCAGTGGTTATGCCCTCGGCTGCTAACCGAAAAGTCGGCTGTTTGAACCTACCAGCTGCTCCTCGGGAGAAAGATGTGGCAGTCTGCTTCCATAAAGATTTACAGCCATGGAAACCCTATGGAGCGGTTCTACTCTGTTCTACAGGGTTGCTATGAATTGGAATCAACTCCACAGCAGTAGATTTGTTTGTTTTTTTAATCTCAACTGATTTAATTTATATGCTACTTTTGAACGTGTATCTTCAGATACCTGATTAGTTGGACAAGCATATCGAAGGCCTCCTATGTGCCAGTCACTGCCTTAGACACTGACGGCACAAAAGGGAATAAGTCCTAGTCCCTGCCTTCAAGGAATTTGTGGGCCAGTGTGGTCACTCCATGTAGGAGTGAGGGCATGACAGAATGGTACAGCTAGAGAGTTAGGCCGGGGAAAGATCAGTGAAGACTTTGTACCTAAGCAAAGAGTTTGGACGTGATTCTGCATAAGATAATTCACTGCAAGTTTTTACATGAGGGCATGGCCAGAGCGCATGTACATTTTAGAAGGATGATGCTGGGCAGTGTGGAGAGTGATTTGGAGGGAAGGGAAACTAGAGGCAGATAAAGAAGCTGTTGTAGTTGCTAAGGGGAGGGCATGGCAGAAAGGGTTTAAGGTAGACTAGGTAAGTGGAGATGATGGGACTGGGTGTCTGATTGGATGTCGGGACGGTGAGCTAGGAATGCCTCCCAAGTTTTTATCTTGAGAGGCTGGTGGTATCATTAAGAGGTTGTTTAGGAGGCGAACAGAGTTGGTGTATAGATATTAAACAATTTATTCAGTTTTGAGCGCATTGGGTTTGAGATGCCAGTGGGATATCAAGGGAGAGATGTTCAGTAGGCATTGATATTTGGATCTGGAGCTCATGATAGTGATCGAGAGAGAGAGATCTAGGTGTTATCATCATGTAGGTGGCAGTGAAAGCTGGGAGAGTAGATCATATCACAGTCGGATTACAGAGTAAGAAGAGGGACAAGGCAAGAATCCTGGGGAGTAGCAACATTTAAGCGGTAAAAGAGGAGATCAGGAAAGGAAACTAAAAAGGAGTGATCAGAGAGGTGGCATGAGAACTAGGAGAGAATAACTTAACAGAAACCAACGGAACAAAGTTTTTTATGGATGAGAGATGTGTTAGTTACACGTGCGAGAGAGGTCAGGAAAGGTAAGGACTGTAATGTGGCTGTTAGAATTGGCAGGGAGGGGATATTGGTGACCTTAGAAAGAGTTGTTTTATTTAATGATCATGGTGATGATTGTAGGGAACCCAGCTGCCACAGAGAGTAATTGGAAAGTGATAAAGTAAGGAAAGAGAGGCAATGAATGTAGACTTAATCTTTCTGGATAGAAGGAGGAAGGAAAAAAATCAGTTAGAAAGTCAATGAAGAAAGGTGTTTCTTTTTAAGTAAGAGAAACTTGAACATGTTTAGAGGTTGATGGGAAGGAACCAATGTCGATGGAGAAGGAAAAGAGAGAGGCAAGGTGTAGGAGAGAGAAGTAATAAGTAGAAGCCCCAGGAGATGAAAA